TGTTCGCGATGTAGAGGACTTAAGAAACCGCATCATCGATGCGTGCAGGGTAATCAGAGAGACTCCAGGAATATTTGAGGGAATACGTGGCTCAATACGTCGACGTCTAGACGCATGCGTAATGTCTGAAGATAGACATATTGAACATTTACTATGATTTCTACATGTTGTGTGTTTTGTTATTAATAAATTAGTTTTGTTTATTACCCTTCAATCGTTTAATGCAGGTACTAACTACAAAATAACAATAAATCCAGTTCGCATTTATGACGATGTATCTCTGTAGTTGTTCGTAAAATAATGTTTTTTGCTGCGAACTGGTTTATTTTGGGCATAAAACCCAAGAGAAATTTTTTGTTCAGAATGAAACAAGCTATCGGAAATAAATTTTTAAATGGTAAACAAATAATAAGACAAAAAGTTACAGTGGAAATAAATTTTAGGGGTTGCGTTTACCACCCGTTACAACCATGGGGTAAACCAAATAAAACACTGGCTAAGTGTCTTTTTGGTAGTACAAAACGTCAGGGTAATTTCAATATTGTAACTTTCTCAGTGCTTGTGAAAAAAATTGTTATACAAATTTTATGTATCCCCTTTAAGGGGCTGTATCTTAACAATGTATCTAATGAAGTTTCTTTATATGAAATATCCTATTTTTTTTCGATGAGGAATCACCTCCTCAAATGTTTCACACTTATTCAGTTACACCCTGTATGTACGCAATGCAAAAAAGTACAGGGACAGCTCGTCACATTTCATGCGATTATAAGGCAAATAATCTGTAGTCAACCCGATTTATATCCAGAAAACATGACATACATCCATTACTCATATTCTATATTGAATCTTTGTGGATTGTTTAAAAAATTAAGTGAATGTTCAGATTTCGCGGGCTACGTCCATTTTAGCGATTTTTTACTTTTTCATGTAGATATACTCATTTGGAACATATATTCACAGTTTCAACTGTTTAGTGTGTTTAATTTGTTGGTGAGGGAAATAAAAGTTAGAAGTGTCTTGCGTGTTTGGCGATTTTCTGCTATCAAAAACATGGATCAGAGAATTTGCATCAATTTTGTGAAAAATGGAATTTGCTGCTCAAAAACTCTTGAAATATTGACAATGGTATACGTTGATTGTACTCTGAGTCAGAAAAATGTTCACAAAAGCTCGATAAAATGTGATGAAGATGCTTGTCCTGGACGCCTAGTGAAAGAAATTGTGAATCATCGAATTACTATTAGAGAAGTTTCTGAGGATATAGGCATATCGGTTGGCTCGTGCCATGCATTTTTTTCGGAAATTTTGGGCATGAAGCGTGTGGAAGTGGAGTTCCTTCTAAAATTGCTGAACTTTGACCTAAATATCCAGATTTGCTCCAAAGGGTCGTAACTGTTGACGAATCATAGGTATATACTTATGACATCGAAACTAAAGTCCAATCGTCCCAATATAAGAGCACAGAAGAGCTAATACTAAAATAGTTCGTGATATTTTGGCCAAAACAACTCCGTTATCATTTCTCAGCCACCGTATTGACTAGATTTGCCCCTCGAGACTTTTTTCTGCTCCCGAAATTGAAGGGACTCATAAGAGGATGGAGTTTTGTGACGATTGGGGATATAATAACTGAATCGTTAAAAGAGGCAAAGGATTCAACAAAAGGTGCATATCAGAACTGTTTCGAAGATTGGAAAAAACTCAGACACAATCAAATACCTTGGCTTAATGATTGATTGACACATGAAATGGGATTCACACGTATTATATCTGACTCAAAAATTACGACGATTTTTGTTTCGCTTCAAACTATTGAAACAATGGCTCGAATATCCCTATATGAATACAGTATATTATGGTTTGGTTCAATCACAACTTTCTTATGGTATTATAGATTGGGGAGGTATTAGAAATACTCACTTGAGGTCTCTGCATACTTTACAAAAAATTCTGAAAATTTCGTTAGGTAAAGGTAGAACGTTCTCCAGTGACCTATTATTGAAAGAAAAAAATGTCCTTGATACACGGCAGCTATACTGCCCCAAAATTATTCTGAAAGTCGTTGAGAACAAAATGAAAATAAAACCAGTGGAACACATGCATTATAGCCGAAGAAAAGAATATTCATTTTCAGCTTCAAGATGCCAAAAATTGTTAGGTCAAAGACTCTGTATTTATGTTGGCCCAAAGATTTGGAGCATAGTACTGGAAAAAATACAACTTATTGATAAACCTGATAAATTCAAATTCATCTAGCCGAAAGTTCCAAGTCTGCTGGAACTGCAGCATTGTCTGGCGAGAAATTGAAAAGAAAAAAATACCAAAATCTTGGATACAACTATCTGTTTTATCCAGTAGCGGTTGAAACTTTTGGTGTTTATGGCCCGGAGTCTCTGTTATTCGTTCATGAACTCGGAAGGAGAATAGGCCAAGCAACGATCACCGTTCTACTTCTTTTTTGATAGAAAGAATTAGTATTGCTATTCAACGTGGCAATGCTGCTTCAGTACTTGAAACTATTCCTCCTTCACATAATTTTGATGAGATCATGCATTGCCCTAATTTCAGTACGGAACTGAAACCTCTTAGAAACAAGCCGAGATATGTGGATATTCATCAGTCTCCTATCAAGGTTAATTCACAAGTGATTGATCCACCTTTTCCTTTTTCAGTGCGTTCAGTGGACTCAGGTCATTCTTGCCCCCCAAAAAATGAGTTGCAGTCCTCGTAGAACTGGTACCCTTTCAGTGAAAGAGCTTCTTAAAGCAAGAGCCGAATCGATCCCTCTACAAAACCCTTCTTCACTTGGAAGGATCAAGCACAGCTTGAGAAATGGTTCTTATGGAGATTCTGTGAAACATGTTCTTCCTAACGAATCAGTAGATAGTTGGATCCTAAATTATCCAATTGGATTGGATAATTTAGGAAACACTTGCTACATGAATAGCATTTTACAAGTGTTGTTCATGACGAAGAATTTCAAAAACGAAGTTTTAATGATGAACGAGAACGGGAATGTTTCCTACTTATTCATCAAACTCAAACACCTGTTCATGCAGCTGCAGTTTCGTAAGAAGGTATCATCTTTCCCTCCAACCGATTTCCTGGAGTCTTTGAAGTCCACTAGATACTCGTAAGAACAACAAGAGCATTGTTCCGAGTTCTTGGGGTTTTTGTTGAATACTCTTCGTGAGCAAAACAATAGCAAAATCAATACTCCTGACCGCTCTGGACTGAATGATTCCGTACTGCCCATCTCGTCTTGTGTTTGTAAATCTTTTGCTGGAAAAATCCTCACTTGTTTACTTTGTGATAAATGTTCAAGAAGTACCGAAAACTTATGTAAATTTCTGGAATTTCATCTAGCTTTTTCTAATATGACTAAAAACCAGTCCGTGCAAAGTTGAATCATCTGAAAATGGAATTTTTAACAGGTGATGATCGACTGTATTGTCAAACATGCGCCAAACTAACTGACTGTTTTAAGGAAACAAGTATAGCTGAGGCACCAGTCAATCTAATAATAACACTGATGATTTTCAAACAAGACTCAACCTCTAACGGAACCAAGAAACTCTTTGGAAGGTTCGAAATATATGAACATTTCAACCTAGCAGACCACTATTATAATATTCATGCAGTCATTGTTCACTGTGGTTCTGGCGTTGAATTTGGTCATTATTACGCCTTGGTCAAAGACGAAACGGACTGGTTTAAATTTGACGATAGTCGTATCACGAAGTGTTCTGGCGATGCATTGAATTTATTGGAGCCTCTGGAGACACCCTACATTTTGTTTTATAAGAGAGAGGACATTGTTAGATCAAAATCTTCAGATGATGTGGTGCTGCAGGTTTTTCCGGGTTTTCCTGCAGCTGAAAAAGCAAATGCGCCACTGGAATCAATGAAGTCGCTCCGGAGCGCCAATTAGTAGTAAGAAAAAACTAAAAAAATTGGCTTAAACATTCTGATCGAACTCTGTTTCATCAAATTAATAATCAACACACTTTTGAAAAAAAATAAATAATTGTGAAACCTACCTTGCTAAAAAAATACGATATGACTTTTATAAGTGAGTATTAAACCTCCTGTAGGATGAACCCAATAAAAAGTACTTAATTTTAGTCCCATCATGTCCGTATGTGTTTCATATTGTGTATATAGTTCATTTTCAATAAATTATGCTAATTTATTTTTAACAGTTTATATCTATTTATTGTATAGAATACTCCCACATATATATTTTTTTAGTTTAGTTGAGTTTAGAATTTGGCAATATCACGTACAAGGAACATTTTTTCGAAAATGTTGCTTTAGGGATGCATACGTTTGTTTACCCAATATTGTTCTTGTTCATTCAATTGTACCATATCTGAAGGGTAATATTTTGAAGGGAGCAAAATAGAAATTGATGAATAAATGAAAATTTCTGAAGAAAAATGAAAATTTTCCTTATTTTTAACACATATCGTATACGGGAATATCGTACTGTAAGAACTATATTGAATTATATGCAGCAAAGAGGATTACCAGTTCAACAGAATAACTTCTTTCTCTCACCAGCCCGACGATCTCACTAGTTAAAATAGGTTTTTGTTCCATCAACGTTTTCTCATTTCGGATATCCTTCACTGAGATTGATTCTAAAATCATATGAAACGAAAAAATTTGAAGCTATTTTGGGAATATTTTCTCTTCGTGTCCGTAGTGTTCACATTTTTGGTAACCAATCATAGTTTATAGAATATTTTCAAACGAAACTGCTCCCTAGTTTTAGTCTAGTTGCAATATTTACCTTATTGATAACCAATCCTATTTGAAAAGTATATCAAGGAATACATTGACCACATTTGGTGTCAAAAATCATTTTTTTCGGGAATATTATAGCTCGTCAACGTTTATGTACAGCCCCTACTACCACACAGGACTTATTTTTAGTCGATTTTCAACACTGTGCTGAGAACGAATTGAAATGATGTTTATTTTATTTTTTCCAGGATGACGAACCACCTGAAATAACATACTGCGTAGTCGAAAATACAGGAACCCTAACCCTTCAAGCTATCACCCCCACACAACCAATGCCTTCACAAGAAGAATTGGATGCGAAATTTGCTGAACTTGTGGTGAGTTTCACTTTCACCGAATCTGTTCAAACATTTTAATCTTCACACTATTTATTGAAATATTTTGGCGAGATAATTAGACGACACATCAGAATTTCAATATATGCAACCATATAGCATTTATGTATCATTTTATGGAATAGAAAAAAGTTCAAAGTTTGGTTTAGAGAAATAGAAGTTTTTGGAGTCTTTAGTATTTTTCTTTTTTTTTTGTTAAAAATATATTATTATAGCCAAGGAATTTGTAGGTATTTCCTCTGGAAAATATTGAATTATGGTGAAGGCGCCAATGTTGACAGTATGTTTTTACTCTAACTTGAGATTACTGCTGATTGAGACGAATAATTGGGTTTTTTATTATTGTGAATCTTTTGTAACTCATTGTTTATCGATTTGAAAGCTTATAATTATATATTGGGTCTCACTCGAACTCTGCTTCTGTTCCTCAAGAATTTGTTGCAAGATAGATTCATAAGATATTTTGCTCTTGAGTAGGTAACTGAGTCGCTTCTAAGCTGTCCTTTTGTCTCCTTGGTTTATTGGCATGATGAGTTGGAGAACTGATAATCTGCTCTTGATCCGATGTTACATGGAAGTCAGATGAGGTTGTTTAGTCGATGTCAATTTCCTGTGTAGAGTAGAATGATTTGTGGTATAAAAAGAGTAATAGGAAATACATCACGACAGAGTCCTGCATTTTCAAGTCTCTCTATGATAAGAGGGCGCTCGGTATCTGAAGGATCCGTTGGTAACAACTGATGGACTAATGACCACAGAAGTGATGACAATATTGAAGTTATGTTTCAGAAGTAAATAGCAATGTGGTTTGGTGCTTCAAAATTCACCACTAAGATACTTTTGTTGTACTACTGAACAACATTTAAGATAAGAAACGCGGTTTCTTGAAAACTGGTGAAACCAACGTCAAAATACGATGATTTTGTTGTGGTGAGAGTAACAATTGGCAGATGACGGGTTTGAATTTTGAATATTTGAACGCTCACTGTAGTGTTATTTCGAGAAAACAACCAACTAGTTTGTGTAATTGAAGACTGAAAAAATGTTTTCACGTACCTAGATGAGTAAAATCATTTCGTTGTTGTTAGCATTCCGTCATAAAAACACATTTTAATGGTCCAGATAGGTACTTTTCAGTACTAAATAGTTAATGTTATCATCAATTCCCATTTGACTGATGAAAACAATGAATATTTGTTCATTTGGGCAGTTATCAAGAAATATATATATAAAAAACCTAATAAACCCAACACAAAACAAGTAAAAACTGACAATATTGAAAGACTATTTGTTTCTTTTATTCAAATTCAATTTACTCGTCCTCTTCAGCTGAAATTTTGTTTGTCGTAAGTCAATGGACCCAGGTCCCCTTTTTCGCCCATTTAATTAATATTATAGATGGAAATCTAATTGAAATGGAGAACGTTTGTGTTTTTTTACCAAAATGTCAATTGACCTTGAAAACATAAAACTCCAATGAACTCGAAATCTAAAAAAAATTTAAATCACCTCTTCAGTTATGATGACCAAATACTGGAATAAAGTAACGATATTTTTATCGTCAGCTCTTGAAATTCTTCAATGTTATGGGCCATCTGTGATTTTTGTCTTCAGCAGACGACTCTTCAAAATTTAAAAGGAATTCTTGAAAAGAAGCGACCAGTTTCGGTATTCATTCCAATTATTATTAGAATAGATAATTGAAAATTGTTTGGTCCGGTTTCCACTTCAAAAGTAATTTATCTATTGATTCATCCGTAACATACTCAGCAATTGATATAACCGTCATGTTTTGAAAGTAACCAACAATAATAATATTTATGGTAACCGCTGTCAAAAATTCTGGTTGGGAATATATTTGGGCATTTTAAATCATTGGGACCATGGAAAGAACTTCAGAAAAAGGAACACTCAATATGTTGCAGTGATTCTCAATTACTTGAGAAATGAAAATCGAAAACAATTCAAACAATAAGATATAGGTGTGGCCAGAATTGAAGGAGACATCCTGTAAATCAATTTGAATATTATTCTGAATACAGCTGTTGAAGATTTCAAACATAGTTTTCTCAAAGACTTTTTTTGCAGTCCCCTATTAAAAAAAATATTGCACATAAACTCGAAAAAAATTAGGATATGTAGTTAAAATTAGAACGAGATACAATTCATCATTCATAGATTGTTTTATTTTTAGAAATCATTGATGACTTGCATTTTTATTGAAGTACAGTGTTGAAAGATAACCATCTTGAAATAATTATCAATTTATCGCAAATTATGAAATATATGAGACTTCAAACAGCTAAAGGTTAGTTATCAGTTTAGGATTGCCAAAACAATTATTTTTTTCCTGTTACATGAAACATAAACAACCATCAAAATAATAACATTATGGAGATTTGATGAGAGAATTCAAGGTATATCATAAGTTTTGATTCTCTTGACTGCAAAAAATTCCAGCCAATTCAAATAATCGATGATTATCTAGACGAAAATATTATAAACTATTTGATTTGACCTCCAGAACTTCAAATTAGTATTCTGCTACGTATACTTGTTTCGAAATATGGAGCATTGAATAATTGTTTTACTAATCGATACAATTTGTACCAGGCCTTGTAGGGAATATACTACTTACTTGTTATGGTGTCTTTCAAATTATTAACTTTCACAGTCCTCAAATCAATGGAATATTTATCAACTGGATCACTGTCATACGTACGGCAGCCACGTGAATTATATTATTTGATGGTCACCTGGTTCTTGACCATTTGAAATAATTCGTGAAACCTGCAGAACATGAAGATCGTTGATTAAAATTTATTGTTGAGAAAAATTCATTGCAATGAATAATCCAGTGATAATCTATTTCATCACTGGCATTTTATGTTAAAAAACAGCCTTTTTTGTATATCAAACGAATAGTTTTTTGGTTTCCAAAATTACGGACGTAGACATGCTCCAAGATTAACTTCTTCAATTGATTTCTCTCGAAACAACTGCATTTTTCAAGTTTCAGGAGGTCTGTCTGATGGGTCCATTCGCTGAGTCGTTGATTCATTCACGTACTAGATACAATTGTGCATATACCTAATCATTACTTGGCAAATTTTGAAATAATGCTTTTTTCATCAACTTCAAAACACATATCCACCGAAGTATCAATTGAAACAGTTTAATGGGTTGCCAACTAATAAATTGAAGGCAGAAAAAACATATTCCAAACATTGACGTGTCCATCAATTTGTCAGTTGATGAATTGAATAATACTTAGTCTTGGTGTATGACATATTATCTGCTGAAATGATTATTGCCCCATTTTATGTGTTTGTAATATCAAATCAAATCAGAACATTTTTTGGATACTGCTCAAGCATACCCAGATAAGCCAGAGACTCATCTGGGTATGAATAAAATACAAATCACGAAAAACAAACCTGTTTACTTCTCAACATAATCTCCATTCAACTCGATACATAATCAGTTCTGCGTTTTTCAAATTTTTTTCTTTCTTTCAAGTAATAGGTCTTGGTTTGGAAACAGAAAATATTCACAGGGGACTGAATCGGAAGAGTATGCTGGATAAAATAGCACTTCACCGCCCAATTTTTGTTTTTTCTTTTAGCTAAATGCGTTCGTTTTTTCTTCAAATCAATATCTATCATTCTAACATGAAGCTTCTAATAATATTCGATGGTGAACGTGCTACCTTTCTCAAGATAATTGATCCCAATGACACCGCGTGCATCTCAGGAAACTGTAGTCATGACCTTGTTGTTTGACAGACCCACCTTGGCCTTCTTCGGTACACGCCTACCCTATGTTACCCACTGTTTCGGTTGTTTCTTGGTCTATGATATATTATGATGAATTCGTCATTCATTCACAGATACAAAACTGCGCAAAAACTCGTTTGGATTGCGACAAAACATAGCAAGACACATATCATATCACGGGTACGTTTCGCTTGTGATGGAGTCTGAGCAAGCGTGGCATCCATTCCGGGGATAGTTTTTTTTCCAAATATGCATTCAAATATCATGTATCCTTTTAGTTGGGATGCTTGGAGCCTCAGCCATCTCATTTTCCATTCTCCGATCGTCCAATATCATTCCATGATTTTCATCGACGATTTCCAATGTGAAGACCTCTTTTGGGCCACCTGAACGTTGTCGGGTGGCCCAAAAGGTTGTCTGATTCCAGTGGCTATCGAACACAAACGCAGCTTGCCTAAAATTTCATGATGGTATGTTAAAAGATTGCGTTGGACGATAGCAGTGTTGCATTTGAAGTCATTACGCTTATTAAACTCAGCAAACAGCCCTCGTAGGTCCGAAAACGAATATGTGTCCAATTGAATACTTCGCCACTCTAAACAATAATAGTTTGAAGCATCAAAGAACGCCATATATTTCTCTTTCTCTGTCTCTCACACTCGCTTCTATAGGTATCGAACTTGAATTCTTTTTATTTCTCCTCATGACCTTATTATCTTTTCATTGCATCCATTACAACAATATTCATCTCTGCACAAGGTTGTATAGGTTCTACATTGGAATTTCGTTACATTCTTCTGGATATTTGGTTCTCAATAAATTGTTTTTACTCTGTGATAGTAGGTATGTATAGAGTTTTTCTGTTTCGTACTCTGAACATGTTGAGATTTACATATTTTTCGATTTGCTACCCCAAAACGATGGGAGAGCTCCAAGTCCTATTGAAGAAACTAATTATAAGCTAGAAATTGGCAATATTTTAGTGTTATTTTCCATGATTAGTCGTTCATTCGCGATATTAATTTCAGTCAACGAGTCAAAGACTGTAATCATATTTCTCATATTCGTTTTGTGTTTCAAATGACTTCAAATCACAACACCGTTTATTGGTTTACAGGAGGAGCTTGACTTGACAGCCCCTAATAAGGCAGCCATGATGAGTCTTCCTCCACAGAAAAAATGGCAGATATATTGCTCAAGGAAAGGAGAAGACACAGTGGACCATACCCATGCACCAGAACATTATGTTGAAAGACTGCGAACACTAGCTACAGTAAGTATGGATTGGAAGCTATAATTATTTGTTTTTTTTTCTTGCTAAAGTCATTATAGCAGAAATATAATTGTTATATTGTAATAATCATGAGTATTTCCATTGAAACTTTTTTAATCTTTTTGAAACCATCAAAAATTATATCTGTTCTATATCCGGAGCTTCCAATGAATAAAAATCGATGGTTTTTTTCTACTTACTGGATGCCGTCTGACTTGTCCGTTTCTCCCAAGGATATTTTTTTCAAATTTTGAATACCTGCTTCCATTCTTGAAATAAATACAGCTCTTATATTTGAATAAATTGTTCTTTACCATCTGTTAGCGCAATTCGTCCCAAATAATCATCTAAGAAGGCGAACTGATGGCACTTGTGGACAAGACTATTTGAAATGAATTTAATTTTGAGAAAACCACAAACCCAATAAACTCTTAGATATATATCTTCAAAAAATTATAATTTCACCTTGACCAACTAGATGTTCAAATAAGTTATCAACAATGAAATTCCATTAATTCATTTCGGCTTTTGTATTTCTGTAAAACGAAAATCATTCCTCGTTAGATATTGTAATATAAATATTCATTTCAGTTACAGTACCCTGAAACTAATACCGAAGAAGAAGTGAGATCTAGGACCAAACAAATAGACGGATTGAAAACAGCACTAAGAACCTCAACGCACAGCTTTGTTATAAAATTCATCGAATTGGACGGCCTTGTAGCTTTATTGGAATGTCTGGAAAGGATGGACTATTTTACAGCTCAAAGTTCCATCCACACTAGTATCATAGGGTGTGTTAAGGCCCTCATGAACAATTCTGTAAGAGAAGTTTTAAATATTCCTCACGCTGTTGAGTTTGAGATGTTACTGAGTTGGTAAACTTGTTAGTTACTTATGGAAGTAATATAAAAATATCTTTTGGACATGCTCATAAAGCAATAAATCATTTCTCCGATTTAATAATTGACTTAGTATATTGGCCAAACGGATAGCAACTTTTCCAATGGATTAGAGAACATAGAATGAAGAATTCGAAACATTTACCGAATAACCAAATCGAATGGATTTATTACATGTCCACCAAAGAGAGTTTGTTCGTAATATATCTGAACCAGGTAAAATGTTGAGTCATCAAGTAGCTCAAAAGTCATATTGGGTATTGACATAAAATATTAGTTGAATATGTTATCAATATGTTATGAATTCTCATCAAGTATCGACCAATCATATTACAATTCATTAACATCTCAGCCATCAACTGATCTAGTTGAGTTTGACAAGTACCTACCTAATATTTATCTATCCATTCGAATTTTTAGACGGGTAGAGCTCACGTATTAGCACATCCAACCAGTATAAATACTATAGCTCAGTCGTTGAGTACAGAAAACATTAAGACCAAAATCGCAGCACTGGAAATTCTAGGAGCAGTATGCCTCGTTTCCGGAGGACACAAGAAAGTTTTAGATGCCATGCTACATTACCAAAAATATGCATTCGAAAGGACGAGGTTTCAAGGGATCATAAACGATTTGGATCGGTCTACAGGTAAATAACATCATTATAGTCATCATATCGAAAAAAAAAACTTCACAATGATATCGAGAAATTGACTACACTTATTTTTTTTTGGTCCGATAGGTGAAAGGATGTTATCTTGAATTTAATGTTGTTTCGTCAGGACATAAAAATGACGAAAATGATCGGAAATTGACTGCATGTTTTGAATATGTTTCTATAGATTGTGATTCCACGATCCATAAAAATATTTTTACACAGGGTGACTCACGAAGGACGAGACGGTCCCTACAAGCTAGACGAAATATATTTTCAATAAATTTTTTTAAGACACGAAGTTAAAATACACCTGTGGCCACGTTTCAGAATTATTTTGAGAAGTATACAGGGTGGTCCTAAAAACGCAGTATATCATTTATAGTACGAATGTTACCTACAGTGCATTTCTTCAATGTCCCCCCCGTTTATTTTTTGAATGGGTCAAGTCAAAAAATTGAAATTTAGGATAATGGAGATGGAAAGGGGGGTCTTGTGACACATCGTTTTGAAGCTCCTGACAAATACTTCACAACTCTATAATATAAAGTCCATATCTTCACCCACTACAAAATGGCGGAACATTTAATAATTTTCTGAAGACAAACACATTCAAATCGATATTTCTAGAAACATTCCTTTTTATCTACCATATGGCAATTCCAACAAGCCGATAAGGTTTGCTAAGTTATTTTTTGTTTATAAAAACGTCAAAAAACGTACGACATGAACATCATTATTTAGTTACAATATTCTCATTTAGCTTTTGATTTCACTAGCTTGTGGAATTGGCCACGGTGGTAGTGTGCCCGACTCACGATCGAAAGACCGTGGGTTCGATTCCTGCCTCGACCAGATATTTTTCTGGAGAGAATTTATCTGGTTGAAGCTGGGATGATTCTGCAACCGTGTTAGGGATCAAACGTTAAAAGGTAAAACCTCGTTAGTCCTTAGCTCGCACAAGTTTCTCAACTTCTGAGAGTTGTTGTTCGTATGGGGGCGACAGCTCATTAACGGAAAAACAGATTTTCAAGAGATTTTTAAACTAGTAGAAAGGTACCACGTCATTGGAAGAAAAAATTGAAGCGATTTTTATTTACGGTGCGACGCGTAACTTTCACGAGACCGAAAGGATTTTCAATGAACGTTTTCTGAATCGTCTTATCTGTAGAAAATATTTGAGGGAACTTCTATCCAAATTCACATCTACCGGTAGTGTACATAACAAAAAACAAAAAGCCCTCAGGTCATCCGTCCATTTCGGAAGAACAGCAAGTGCAAATGATTGGTGAGATGGTAGTAAATCCTAAACAGTCTACTTATTTCGTCGCGAATGTTTGCGAGGTGTCTCCTTCTACTGTGTGAAGACTTTTGAAGAGTGAAAATGATTAATAAATAAAATAAGAAATAAAATTAAAATGATACACCAATCAACTGAAGATGATCCTGATCGAAGAACAGAACTCTGCGAAATCATGACGGAAACCATTGCAAGGCATCCTACTCATCTCCACAATATTTGTTTTAGTGACGAATGCACATTTGTTTAAACGGCAAGGTTCACAGACAAATCTGCCGTTATTGGAGTAACACCAACCCTCACGTTTTCCGGAAAACGCATACCCAATATCCAGAATAAAATTAACGTTTGGGCAGGAATATTGGGAAACCATATTGAAGGACGTCTATTCATTGATCAAAATTCAACAGAGGAACTGTATTTGAATATGCTGGAAACTACTGTTGACCCTTTCATCACTGAAATCGTCGAAGGGAATCCTAATTCGATATGGATATTGTATGCCGTATTCCAACAAAATAGAGCACCACCACATTACTCCAGACAAGTAAGAAACTATTTGGATACTACTTTTCCCGGTCGTTGGATTAGCCGTCGAGGTCCTACAGAATGGTCAGCCTGCTCGCCAGATTTGACACCCCTGGACTTTTTTTATGGGGCTATTTGAAGCAAAAGGTGCACGAAACTGAACCTGCAAGGGAAGGAAGCACGGAAAGAGTTGGTCACCTCTGGCAAAGCCCCGCATTATCAGTGGTAGGTTGATTATAATGAGGTTTTGCCCACTTCCCCAAGGGGATCGTTCGTAACCGCATAATACCCTACGGCCACTCAGCTGTCGGCACGATTCCTTATACCTTAGCTTGGGTAGGCTCGTCCACGGTGGCATGTTTTGCAACGGCTTTTTGGGAGTTTTAGTTCCCTTCACTCTACTTATTTCTGTCACTGAACAGGAGTCCGTCGACTCCGTCCGTAAGGCCACATAGGCTTCCCGGACAGGGCCTCCAGTCCCTGGCCGTTCCCCTATCCGTCACCTGGGGACGCGCCCGATAGGTAGCCCAACCCACGGGTCACATAACTCATAAGATTCACCCTTGAACTCTTGATGTGTGTAACTGTAGAACAACTGTACATTAAGAGTCATTTTTGTCATGTTTTGTTCGTGAAACTCCATAACAGAATTATTCTTCACGTTGGTCTCAACTCGTTGATACTATATCTTTCAACTAAGTTTGAAAGGGTACATATCCTTCATGAAGCATTTTCAAACTGGTACAAAGTGGCAGTCCAATTGTAAACTTTTATCTGAAATACTCTGTTGAAAATATCAGATACTCTCCTTGAAGAAAATGAAATGATTATACTTTTGGTATACATTCCTATGACCCTGTAGCCATTGTGAATAGCTTTGTATCTTTTGATGAAAAAAGTGTTTTTATTTCCAAATAAAGCTTATTTGTTATTTTCAGGTATCTATAGAGACGAGGTTAACCTAAAAACTGCCATTATGTCATTCGTAAATGCTGTTTTAAATTACGGCCAGGGCCAGGAAAACCTGGAATTCAGATTACATCTCAGGTACGAATTTCTGATGTTGGGCATCCAGCCTATCATAGACAAGCTCCGAGGTCACGAAAATGAGACATTGGACAGGCATCTGGACTTTTTCGAAATGGTTCGAAACGAAGACGAGAAAGAATTGGCGAGAAAATTCCAACAGGAACATATGGATACTAAGAGCGCGACCGCTATGTTCGATCTTCTAAGGAAAAAGTTGTCGCATACTGCTGCTTACCCTCATCTGCTATCCCTTCTGGAACACTGCATACTGTTGCCTCTAGATTACGGTTCCCATCCACAGCACTGGTTACTCTTCGACAGGATAGTTCAGCAAATTGTTCTACAACAGAATGAAAGTGGTGCCGTGAAAAATCCTGATGTATCCCCTATTGAAATCAACGTCAGAGAAATCGTTCATCTCTTGGCGAAAGAGGAAGAGTTGGTTGCTGCGAGAAAGAAGGCTGAAGAAATGGAGAAGGAGAATATCGATATGTCGAATAGGCTCGCAAAGAAGGAACAAGAGTTGGATCAGAGGATGCAGGAGAAAGAAGATCTGGAGACGAGTCTAAGCAGGATAAAGGAGAGGTTGGAGAAGGAGACGAGCGCTCACATAGAAACAAGACAGAGGTAAGATGATAATATTTGCAGTGATTCAGAACATTTTGTGTTACTTTAGAATTCTTTCAATCCGGTCTGTAACATTTTCCCCTGATTGGCCTAGCTGGGGTTGTTTTGGTGTTTCTCTCTCCTGGGTCGTATGACTCTCTCCAATTCTACTTTGCTGTACTCATTTCCTTTTTCATGTGATTGAGTTCCTCAGAAAAATTATCCGGTTCACAAATACGTCGTGCTATATGAACCAACATTTTAGTTACCCCTCTTCAACCAACATACCCCTCTTTTTTATTGTGGCTGGTGGTTACAGTTTTTGTTCGTGTACCTGATTGTGTGTGCTGGTATCCTGTACAATATGTGGTCCAATGTATCACCTTCACGTCTGTTCACAAGAACATCTAAGAAGGTCAGAGTTCCTTGGGTTTCACATTCCATTATTGGTTGGACTTATGGGTTGATAGAGTTTACATATAATAGAAAATCGTTTGGTGTCTTTTCACCAGCTCGCCATACCACGTGTCACCAACAAGACGCAGCCAACAATACGGTATTTTCCATAGAAAAGTTTGCCTACGTCAGACTTAGTAATGAATAATAGTAATAAATGCTTCTATTCAAAGTATCTCAGTTCAAGATATATTAACCTAACCTAACAAATGGCAGAATTCAACATCTGCACATGATAAATCAAGGCAGATATTGCTCTTCCAATGGAGTACTCATTGCGGTACCATTCGTTAATTCGCAAAACACCATTCCGCTGGAAATTATTTGATGATGAACAATGAGTGAGGAGAGCGTTTATATCAGCTGGGAATACTTCGCGAGTTAGCCGTATCGTGTCCTTGATAGCAACTTATTCATTCCCAAAAAAAAGAAAACTTCACTTAGATCATAAACACGTATCAGAATAGTGGAAACATTCAAATATATTTCAATTCAAGATATGGAGTCATTGGATGACCACAAATTATAAGAACACAGATGGGGGCTTCGTCCATTTCTTTGATCTACCGTTTTGCTGTTATCTATTGTGTCACTAGTTTTACAAACATGTTTGGCATCCTTCATCACCCTTTTTTGGGTTTTTCTATTCCCCAGAATTTGAAAAAGTAAAATGATGTATGGAAATTCAGTATTAAAGCAGACCAGATCAATGGCAATGGCAATTGTGCATGTGGTGTCCTTTATATTCATATAAAAATTCACCTTTTTTTACTTCATCTTGTCCGACTCTCTTCTCCGTATCTATTTTTTTTTGTGATATGACTACTATTTCAATATATACGTAGTATGAGAGCGAACCATCTCAATTATTAGGTATGGTAAGGGTATTCTGAAAATGAATTTTCGACCGCAAGGATATATTTTTGGTCCTTTCCTGTTTCTCATCTATTTCAATTCCATGGCTATTGAAACTTATAGCAAACTTCAATCATTCGCAGACGACACAAAATATATATTTTTTAGAATAAAGATTTGGTTGGAACGACATAAATCAACTTTGAACTATAAATAATGTTCTCGTATGAGCATTTCGAAAAATGAATAGAATGTCAATAAAATTGCTTCAGATCACAAATCAGTCATTTAACTTTCAGGATTGTCCATCGATAAGAAATTATCATGGAAAAATAACACACGACAGTACACTTTCTTGAGGTCCCCCTATAGAAAAAACAGTTACTGGTGAAATTAAAATATGCAATTCACTTTCTTGAATTTCAAAAAACTGATTCATATTTCAATTGAATTTGGAAACACTTTAAGAATTTGATTAAAAACCAGAATATTGTTTTTCCAACAATAATCTAATTTTTGCTATATTTTTTGCTGACGACTTTTCAATTTTTTTTTCTCATAGTTTCAATTCCATTTTGTTTCAAGTTTCTTGGGACCATAAAAATTGTTATGAATGAATTTTAATTCACAATATCAACTTTGACATTTACAATGTTGAGCAATGAAGATTTTCGTACTTCTTTAAATATTTTTCATAATATTTCTTTGACTCCTCTTATTTCTACAAATTCATCTTTCTTTTATAACACCCTTTATTTTTTCAATAGATTCAACGAACTTGAATATCGAGCTGCCGACCTAGATCGCCAAGTAAGCTGCGAAAGAGGTGAACGCCATCGACTAGAACGTCTGGTCAGCTCCGGTTCCATCCCAGACGATGCCAAAGCAATAGGCCTTAACAAATCCCTAGAAATAAACGTAGAATGTAAAAATGAATTCGTGAGCGCGCCGCCTCCACCTCCTCCTTTAGCGCCGCCTCCCCCTCCCGGTCCTCCGGGTCCTCCACCACCGCCCTGTGCTCCACTGGCGGTACCCGCGGAACCGATGAAAATGGAAACCGTCAAGAAGAACATTCCTCAACCGTCTAACCCCTTGAAGAGCTTCAATTGGTCGAAATTGCCGGACGCCAAATTGAACGGTACCATCTGGAACGAATTGGACGACAGCAAGTTGTACAACACCATGGAGTTGGATAGTATCGACAAGTTGTTTTGCGCATATCAGAAGAATGGGGTTGCGGTAAGTTTCCCTATCTTCAGTTATTTGGAACTTGAAACTTGTGATATTAGTCGGTGTACAATGATATGCTTTTCCTTAGTGCCCCGTTTCATTATGCATCTATGCTTCAGGCAGCTCACTGATTTGTATGAGTTCCTATCGCGTCTGACTTAAAACAATCCAAAAACGTGGATACAAAAAAAGGTTCCCCAATAAGAAGGAAAAAGTACTGGAATATATTTTAAATTGATCTATACTAGGTGTCAAATCCTGAGCAATCACTGGCAATGAAATAAGCCAAAAAGAAAGCTGAAAACTATCTTTCTGAGCAGGAAAACAGTATTGGGGGAATATATTATATTAGGTGTTAAAACCCTCAGCATTCAAAGGCAATGAATGACTCAACTTCATATATTATCCCTAAATTAGCTGTAGAGGTACCAAAATCAATGGTAGGGAACGAGATGAGGATAAAGGTTAAAAATTGAGAATACTGGAAAAATACGCCTAGAGGTACTCATCGAGATGAGAAAAAAAACTGATTCATCGAGCAAAGGTTCTGTTCGGAATAGTAAGAGCTACTCGGTCGAATGTTTCGCTATATAGGCGTTTTACAACAAAGGGATACGAATATCAGGCACTGGATCTCAGGAAGTACGCAATTTATGGACAATGCAAATATGTCCAGAAGACTGACAAACATCCAACAAGGTAGTACCAACCATGAAATGGTTGGTAGAGAAAATCAATGAGACCATTAGGCTACAGGGTTTTCCTATGAATTAAAAGAAATCGATAAGTTAGACGCCACAAGGCGAAAAAGTTACTGTGAAATGTACAAATATATGTATACTCCAATAAAGTAAAGTAATTCAATGGCCAATACCCCAATTTCAACATCTCAACAACAGAGATATGTTGTTCAGTAAGCACAGAGTGCAAGCATTTTTAGCTAGTATGAGACCGGTACTACAAATGCAGTTCGGAAATAGAAGAAATAGGCAGTTCAATAAGATAACTGAAGCGAAAGAAGAATTCTTTGTAACACTGATATTGGATAAACTCTACCAGCAGAGCCGCATTACGTTGAACAAGGTTGGATGACAGGAAATTTTTCTGCAGAAGTCGCCAAGCCAAGCATTTCGTTCTCTTCTGATAATGGACAACCATGAAAGGCATTTGATACCGGCAGCTTTGAATATTGATGATTTTGGCATAACTCTTCATGTTACACCACAATTTGGGATACACTCAACGACGTGGCCATTATATTATCTGTATATTATCGAAACTGGATTTGGGTAAACTGGGATATGAAATCAAATCAGGACGTAAAAATTATCTCAGAAGCAGATCCTGAGAGATGAATAAACAAGGAAAATAAAAAGAAATTCGATGTTGACCGATGCTTCAGTGAAAACGGATACAAAAAATCTTACACTACAAATAAATGAACTTCAAACTACCAATATTCCAAAATGAACGCTTTGTGAAAAATGCAGTGAAAATTGAAGAATTAAAAAAAATTTTTCGAACAAACCTTTCATTTCAGAAATAGAATTGAGGGGACACAGGAAAAAGAAAAAAGTATGGCAGGTTTAATAACTTTGTAATTGTTCACTTTTCAGGGATACAGAAGCATAGGTCATTGTATTTTGAATAAATAATGGTAATTATGAATATATTGTCAAGTATTTACGAAACAATTTCAAAGGTGTCTTTTTAGAGCACAACCTTGCCATTGTAGACTATGGTTTACGTCAGATTTCCAGAGCTCTGTTGATTATTTAATATTGATCATTGTTTAATTTATTAGCGGTGATTTCAACAGTTGGTGATGTAGTTGTCTCATAAACTTTCAAATTTATAAACTTTCAATATTTATTAGATGTCTTCATGCGTAGGTACTTGTATTATAACCTTGTCCCTCAACCTGTCATTTTGTATATTTTTATTTTCTCAATGAATTGTATTGTAACCTTTGTCACTGAAGGTACATACATTTTAACGCATTTTTTTATAACTTCTGTAGTGCCATTTTATGGTAATAAAGAATATTATTATTATTATTATTAATGAAACAGGAGAATTGTTTCAATAATTAGAATTATTTCACAGAAAACGTCGATTTTTCATCTCCAGTTTTTCATATCATATTTGCTTTTTAATTTGGTTGTGCTCTACTGTAACTACAGTATTTTTTCTCAATTCAAATGACCTACCACAAAATTCATCTCATATCATGTTTCAAAATATAATTTAAGGATCTTGTATTACAAAGAAAGTTTCGTTACTGAAAAACACATTTTTTCATCAGAATGAAGGATCAATAGAAGACCTCCGACAGCTAGGTAAAAACAGAACCAAAGTCCTTTCCGTTATCGACAGCAGACGAGCTCAGAATTGTACCATTTTGCTGTCAAAACTGAAAATGTCTGACGAAGATATAACGAAAGCCATACTCAGCATGGATAGTAAAGAACAACTGCCAATAGATATGGTGGAACAATTGCTTAAATTCACCCCAAGTTCAGAAGAAGCCGCCCTACTGGAAGAACACAGTGATGAAATCGACTCTTTGGCGAGGGCAGATCGGTTTCTCTATGAAATTTCAAAGTAAGTTGTATACAGTTAATAGACCATTGAAATATTTTCATAATTTGGTAAATATGTTATTTTATTGTTGGAAAAATTTGATATATGTGGTGCACTGAAAATATAGTTCGAAACTAACCCAAATCTTTTTGAAAGTAATCACTTTCAATCATATCCATGAGAAAGGGTGATATTCGGAGCAGGGTTTTCTGAAAATCGATGAACCAAACGTCAGCCAAGTCAGTGACAGATATAAAGCCTATTTTAGGCCTGAAATTATTTCAGTTGTTTCAAGACATTATATTTTCTTGTTGAAATAATTTCATCAGAAATATCACATCTGTCAAATATGAGTGGTGGAAAGTGATACCTGATAATAATATATCTGTGATGATCGGTATATATGGAGTTTCCGCATCATTAATTATTATGGAAAACGAAGCCACTCTATTTTTTTTATTTCCATTTCATTCATTAAAAATCATTATAAAGTTCATGTAGTCATTTGATGCGAATAACAATATACGAGTTCCATTTCGGAAATAAAGTTTTGGTCACTTCGTTTAGTGTCAAATACCAACCCCAGATCATTGGCACCTCAGGTAGCTGCCGTAAGAGGCACTATGTGAGTGAAATCACGTCCTTTTTAACGTTCAAATAATTTTATTTGACAAAAGTATTCCTCGACGCAACAAAAATTATTAGTACCGAATTTGGTAAAGTTATTCATATTTCTTTATAACATTTTTGAAGTTGAACATACTTATCATTTGAGAAATAAGGACTTTACGGAATTTCTATAAATCATCTGATTACCGATGATAATGAACATTTTCTCAAAATATTTGTTTTTTTTTTCTGTGAAATCGGGACCAAGACTAAAGAACCTGATCCCCTTTTATCCATTTTTATATTTCGTCGTAGACTTTGCGAAGCCGACGAATAAAATATTCCAACCAAGTTAGCTGAAGTCATCAAAAGATGGATAGCAATTTTCTGGAGTTCCAATTTTACCTATCAAGCTACATCTCTGTCTCTGTTGCCATATTCCTATCTCTCCACATCTTTAAGCATGCAAATCTAACTGGCCAATGATGTAAATGACAAGCTACCGTTTACTCTCCAAAATGCTCCGACCTCTGTCTTCTCATTGTTGCGCACCATGCAGAAGAGAGTGCCCGAACTTCTGATGACTTCACAGGATCCATACAACACCATTCTATCATGTAGATGCTTCAAAGTAAAAATTCCATGGCCTCCCAGTTCTCGGGATTGTATAACCGGGAAACGGACGATTCAGTACGCAAACTCATATGAAGAAAGATCACGTCGAGTTGGTACAGCTTCTCTTGAGTCCACTTCAGTACTCCAACAGAGTAGATTAGGATCAGAATGGCAAGCATATTTGTGGCATTAACTTTGTTCTTCTCCAACAGTTCAGCTGACTAGATCTGAGTTTAGGGAGAAGAAAATCCGGGCCGGTAAGCCGTGGTCGAATGGTCGTGGTCGAATGAAGTACCAAACATTTCGTCTGCACATAACCAGTGGTATGTGCATGGATTGCGAGGACGAAATTTACAAAGTCTTAGCAATGACTGAGTAGTTGCCGTGACCGGCCTACCAGCCCGGATTTCGTTCTCTTCAATCATGACTCCGGTCTATCTAAGTTTGTTCTGATACTTGCCGTGAAGAAATCTTCACGGTCATTACCTTTTGGGAGTGACGTTCTGTAAGTGTACGTCTCCCCGGCATCCTTCAGATGGTATATGATGCTTTCGTCTAGGAACTGCAAATCCTCTCCTAATCTTCGCATCGCCATCTTTTGGGATAAATTGTTGCACACTTGACTAACAATATCCAGTATTTATGGGATGCAAAAATAAAGGAGCTGACAAAATTTCCTCGAAATACACCACTTCAGACCTACTCTGTTATGACTGTAGCTTGAACAGAGATCAAAGTAAGATATGCCTAGGTCCATATGCACTGAGAGTGCAGTATGTTTATGACGCCAAGTGATGGTAAGTAGGTAGGTCTAAAGTGAGTGGGTCTATTCGACCTTCCACTGCAACCCACAAGGGTTTATTGTGGCTCACACCTCTTCACACTCGGCCAAATAAACCCAGCTTCTTAACGGAGCCGATTAGTTTGTATGGTGAGTGGTCTTTCTGAAGCCGCTTGCAGCACCTTCCTTTGCAAGAGAGTCAGTAGCTTCATTGCCTTCCAGGCCAGAGACAATCTTCCTATCGAAGAGAGTCGTTTTTGGCAGTTTGCTACCAATTTAGACGTTGCTCGGTAGGAGCCAAGTGCTTCCAACGCCGCTTGACTGTCCGAGAGTATTTTATTGACTTGTGAGTGAGGTTGGATTTATCCAATCTCTCCGCATACAAATCAATAGCGTAAATTTTCGCTTGAAATACAGTCGCATAAGGTCCTAGACAGGTAGATAATTCTGTCCTGGGTCTGCGACTGAAAACACCTGCACCAGAACTGCTAAGTGATACTCTTACTCCTAGTAAAAATGCAACTGAGAGGTTTCCTCTATTTAATTCTCCTTCAAAAATATAATGATTTAGCTGCATGGATTTTGTAATATATAAAATGATTCATGTGATACATACACATTATTATTAGATAAACATTGTGGCACTGTATGAAAATACTTGAATCATATATTTTAAAACAACGTTCACCCCATGTTTTCTCTAGCTTTACTGCCACTGGAGAAGATGACGTATTATCATTAATATAATTTTTATCCGTTATAAATAACGAATAATGCTTCCTCCCGTGCTTTATTTTCCATAATACTAGTACCGTTGGATACACGTAAAATACTCGCGGAGTATCTATTGCTGATCGTTTTCACAAATTTGTCCTTTACTTATTCCAAATTTTCCACTTTCACAGAGTCCCACACTACGAACAACGCCTTCGCAGTCTCCATTACAAGAAGCGTTTCCAAGTAACCTTGAACGAAATCCTACCAAGAATCACCAGTGTGATGGAAGCATCTCGGGAAGTATCTCGTTCCAGACGACTGAAAAGATTACTGGAAATAGTTCTCGCATTGGGAAATTACATGAACCGAGGCGCCAGAGGTAATGCTTCTGGATTCAGACTGACTTCACTCAACAGGCTGGGAGACACCAAATCAAGTGCTGCTAAGGGTACCACGCTGCTGCATTATTTGGTTCAAGTCTTGGAAAGAAAGGTGAGTTGTTTCCTATTCAAAATGGAATCCACAGTGATTGGACATACATAATAGTGTTCTGTTATGGAAAAGTATTTGAATCAACTAGGTCGAAAATGAAACCAGAGCCCAAAGACAATGCATTCCTTGTCCAATATCAGACAGCGCCATACATCTCATAATTTGATTTCATATATATATTTTACTATGGACTGCCACAAACTTTATAACTGTTATAACTTCATCATAGCGGCTGGACTAAAAATTTTAGGAACCAGTGACACCTTACCGCCTGATGACTTCGACAATTGTGGAACTAGCCAAACGTCACACCCATGCTCAATCCCTAAAGAGATAGGATGGAATCAAAGATGCAGTCTTGCCAGGATCACCCTGGGTAGCTGCCCCCGAAGAAATATCTGGCGATGACCAGGAAAACCCTACACTTAACAGTAGGATTTCTGAATGACCACTGTCAAAAAAGAAAACACATCCATATTATGGGGTTAGTGGACACACCTCTATGCAGGATATGTGAACAGGAAGATGAAACTGTCAGGCATATCTCATGCGAATGTCCGGAGTTATCGTCAATAAGAGATTATGTGATCGGCGAATCTTGGTCAACACCCGTCGATATAAAAGAGATGTCTCCTAGTGACCTGTCCATCTTCCTGAAACGGACAGGATGGACGATGACCTAGAAGAACAACTCCTCGAGAGGATGTACAAAGGGTCACATGGGCCTACACTTACCCTCCCCACTCTACATATACAGAACTTCATCACATCACTTCTTGCATTTTTGTTATGGGTTTTTGCTCTTTGTGATAAGAATAGGGATATAGGTTATTGGCTACTAAACATTGCCTTTCATAACCGCATATTCTTTCATCCACATATCCTTTTTATAACCACAATATTCAAAAAAGTTAAGTCAGATTACTGTCTTATTAATTTTTACCTGTATATTTGTTATCTGAATTAAAATAAAGGTGCATTTCCAGTTCAGAGATGTCCTCCGGCTTGATGAAGATCTACCTCATGTCCGCGAAGCAGCTAAAGTGTCTCTTGGAGAACTAAACAAGGACATGGCTCAACTTAGAGCCGGATTGAAGGATGTAGCAAGAGAAATCGAATTCCACCTCAGTCAGAGTCCTTTGGCCAATGATAAGTTTGTTCCGGTGATGAGAGAATTCCAAGCCACAGCTACTTGTCGCTTGGCGGAAGTTGAAGACCAATATCAGGACATGAAAGTGAGTTGTTGAATTTTAGGACAATACCATCAGGTATTATAGTGAATCAAATGTAATCGAACAACATCATAATTCCGAAGACACCATATCCCAGTGACTTGATTTCAATCCGTCAGTATTTCTAGCGGAATTTATTCCTTAAAAGTTCTAGTTTGAATAATATGTATGTTGTTCATAGAAAAAAATTTGTTATGCGTGGCTTTTTTTCGAAATAATTCGAAATCATCAATTCAACAATAGTACATCAAATATGTTAATTATGGCATCATCTTCAAACTTGATTTGGATGGGTACAATAATAATGGAACTGAAACATTTAGGAGATATCATAAATTCACTTTAATTCAGTTATACCTACTCCAATCGATTATTCATTTGGTGAATGAATGCCTTCAAATATGACTGAAAAAAATAGGAAAACGCGCAGGTTTTAATAGTTTCCTCTGAAAAAATTGTCGAAAAATAATATTGATTTGAAGTCGAGAAGAAAGTGATGTAGATCGTTCGATTGTACAATCACTTCTGGAATGTAACTTCGATTATATAGTTGTTGTAGTAGCAGAGGTCATTGTTGTGTTAGTGATATTGATGGTTTCAGCCCGTGTTGATGGAATGTTCTTCAATCAGTTGAAAATAGTGCCTGATAACCAGAAACCATGTTAATGTCCTTATATTACAACAAAAATTTGTGATATTACAAATTTAATAAATTCCAGAAGTTTCGCGCAGCAACTGGAACTTTCATGGTTGAAGAACCATTTGGAGAAGTGATAATGGCAATAGTGAAATGCAAAAAAAAGACTGAGGAAATCGCCCTGAATTGATCCACTTCGTTTGGACTCTAACCTGACCAGATGTTATGGTGAAGCAAGTCCGACAGAGTGGTATCGGTTGTTCAAGGCACAGGCAGGATGAGCCCATGCGATGTTGCATCTGGTTATCAATCCAAACTATAGAGAGGTTACGCTCATACTGTATCGAGTCCTGCATTACACATCTATCGATGAGCAGTTTCTCTACAAATCTGGGGACTCCCCTCTTCGACCCTTTCTGCTTATATATCCGTTCAAACACTTCGTCGACTGCGGTGACCATTCGTGTGTAAAACATTCCCATAAACAACTCATAACATCAATTCAAGCATGTTATCAGTCTGTAATTCTCACGAATCACTGTTTTTGGGAGTAAGATCGCTCCGTTCCTCGACGGATCATTCGGGAATCGGCTGCTCTTCGTCCAGCCATGAGTTTAAACTCTGGCCAGATAGCGGTGGGTAAGTGTTCGCCCCATCTGGGCCCGGAGCCGCAGAGTTCCTGGAACTTTCAAAGACTTTTTGAACTCTCAAGGAATCTTTGAACAGTATTCGGGGTTATCCGAATGTGCAGTTCATTGATCTCAGGCTGTCGAAGCTCTCTGCTGACAGCCTCAAACTGCGCTAGGGCTGCGCTAGTAATCGAGTTGAAAGGTTGTGGGTTCTCCTGAATGTTCTTTCAGAAAGATTCCGCCTGATCAGCGGTCGGTGTATTATTCACAACACGAACATAGTCTTGGAGTAAGCAAGAAGGTTTCTCGCCTAATCCGTGATACTTCTTGCTCGCCTTACTAGTTACAGTTGAGCCGCCACTAGCATTCGTATCCAATCAAGGCAATACCGTTTGGTGATCAGCAACAAGCCTTAACTCAACGTGTGATACGAAATGCGTGTTGTCTTGCCAACTCGATCTTAGCCTCCATTTTGTGGAGCCGCCGTTCAATCTTCCAAACCGCATAGTCCGGATTCCGTCTTTCCGATTTGGAAAGCGATTGAATGACAGTATATGGTGGTGGTATTATATACATGCAAAAACCATATGAAAATAACTCTCAATTTTGAATTATAGCTGATTTTATTGTTTCAAGTCTATCGAAATTTTGACGCTCTCCTGGGTTTGTTTCAAAGATCATTATTATCATTTCCAGAACCGTTTTGAAAGAGCCGTCCGCCTATTTGGCGAAGACAGCACCAACGCCCAACCTGACGAATTCTTCGGAATTTTCGACACCTTCCTAACCGCCTTCACGGAAGCTCGTCAAGACAACGAGAACATGCGACGCCGTCAGGAAGAAGAAGAAAAACGAGCCAAACAAGAGGCAGATCTGAAAAAACTCACCTTGGAGCGCAAACACAGTCGAGAAGGCATTCTGAGCAACATCAACAAAACGATGAGCCTGAAGAGGGGCGAGAAAAATACAGAGAAGAACGGCGATAAGGGTGAGTTCGACGATCTGATATCGGCGCTGAGAACAGGAGATGTTTTCGGTGAAGACATGGCTAAGTTCAAGAGGTCACGGAAGGGTAGAGTGGGAACCGGCAATTCGCCCCCTAGAAGGAATTCGAACAGAGAGGACAGTAGGGAACGTGTGGTTAGTAGTGGCAGAAAACAATGAAATCATTTTGAGGTTGTGTGTGTGTGTTAAGTTAGGACATGTTTGACGTTAACTCCCTATCAGAGATGATATCAGCTGATGAATTGGTTGTTTAATATTGGTGAACGTGAAAGGTTCTTTTCAAAATGATATTTTGGTCTAACTTTTCCTAACTTTCATTCCAGTTTGTCTGAATGATTATATTGACCGAAAGAAACATAAAGCGTTCAAAGAAAACTTGATAATGCTTGACCAAATTCATACATAGAATATAATTATATATTCTGCGGACAAACTAGATGAATGAAGATAATATTCATCGAGCTGAATGTTTCTTTCAAATTTCTGAACAGACTTTTTGAAATATTTCATTTTTGATAATTAGTGCCTGCTATTCCGCCGCTGATCATCTGTGTGATCCAAAATGATTATATAGGTAACCATTTATTTTCCATGAACATACAATGTTTATAAGAGGGGAAATCAATTAGAAATTATTCAAACAATAAAGAATACAATAAAAATAGATTTTAGGATGGATATAAATAACATAAAAAAAGGCATTGGAATCAAAATTTTGCGATTTTGAATTCTACTTGTGATGAAAAATGTTTTTCCCAAATTCATTTTCCATTTCAATTCATTAATACATACATTTTTTCGTATTTATGATTTTTTATAATTGTCAAATTATTATAATTATTTCTTGTCTTCCAATTTTTTACTGAACATTTTATAATAGAATGTATTTCATTGTTCTTTATTTTTGAATTTCACAGGGTTTTTTGAGTGAAGATTTTTCAAAACTTCAGAAAAATTTCAAATAATTCACATATATATAATTTTGAAATCATCCATCTTTTTTTTCGAATATTACCAAGTTTTCCAAGTCTATTGTTCATCAGTGTAAAAACTGAAACAATTTGGTGATTTGCGAAAAACCTTTACTCTATGAAGGCAGTAACTTATTTTTTCATTTCATTTGAACTTTCGACTCTGAATAATACACATCTCAAATTTTTGATTGTGGTGAATCAATACCTTGAATTATCTATTTTGTGAATAAATACCCTGTGCTCCATCAATACCCTCACAATATTGTGACTTCATCTTCTTTAGAAACATAAACGAGGAGTTTGATATATATATATTGAGTGTTAATTTATGACTGCTCAATAACGATATTTGGATAAATGCATGTTTTTGGGATGACTCCGACGCTGCCGTTCTTTCGTATCCATATTTCATTCAACAACTTATGCTTATCGAATTTTGAAAAGAACCTGCATTCTCAACAAATTGAAACGTTCTCCAGTTGAAAAATGTCTATATCAGCGTACTTTGTGAGACTACTATATACATGAAAATACCATATGAAAATAACCATTAACCCTGAGTTACAACTGCTTTTATTGTAATCAATGACTGAGTGGTTTAGTATGAATTATATGTATTTTTAGGTATTTTTACAGCACTATAATAGAATTATAACTACATCGAAATACTAAAAAAAATCGTAGGCTTGAAAAAAATGTTTGCAAAATTTTATAAATCGTGAATCAGAACAGAAATTGAATATTTCACTTTGTCTCGCAACAATGAAAGGATTTTATTTTTTATTTGTTTTACCAGTAGCTTATAACTTAATGACGTTGTGATGAAAATATTAGTTTGTAATTTTTCATGAACTAGCTAGATACTTCATCATGAAGGAACATATACCATAGAAGTAATCAAAAATTCCAGTGGAGGAATGAACTTGTGAAGTCAGTGGAAAATGTATCAGTATCAGTTTTTTTAAGAATAATCTGAACTTTTTAAAGTATGCGATTACACTTTTTTATATATGTTTGTATAAATAGCGTAGTTTAATGTTTATATACCTGAAAATTTAGCGAAATGATAGTGCTATGCATTGAAATGGAACTGATAAATACATTTTAATGTTGAAATATATTATTTGTTAATTTATTTAATTTGTTGTTTTCCTTCAAACATCAAATTGGGATAAGAATTCATCGTCTATCATTTCTAAGGTCTTGTGAACATTGACCAATTTTTTTTTCAAACTTCGTCACTAGTTTCGAAAAAATCTGGGATCTTCAAAATTTGAAAGTTTCTTACACAAGTATGTAATAGTGTGAGAAAAATTGAAGTTTGTTTTTATCAAAAAATTGTAGAGTTTTCTAAATTTGGGATGGAGTTTATATACTTCCATATGTGCTAAGTTTAAAAGAGTGTAAAAATACAAAAGAAAACTCTAACCAAATACTATGAAGACCAGGAATATCCGAAGGAAGCTTCGGATATTCCTGTATGTCTTGCGTGCCATGTCTGATGGTTGATTATTAAAAATATTAAATGATGGGTGTAGCCGTTACTACGTTCTAGGAAATCATTATGAAATGAATATTTTATGGTTTATACCTCTTTTATTTGTTACTAAAATCACTGCAGTTTCGTCCTATAAGGACATTAGGTTCAATGTATAAGTTTGAAAATGTCCTTGTAGGACGAAACTGCAGTAACTTTAGGTACAAATAAAAGAGGTAAAAACATAGAAAATTTCATATTTCATTTTTCATAAAATCAATAATATTCAATTCTAACTAAGCTAACATTTATATGGCTATAAAATGACTGGAAAAATTATGAAATTAAATTTAAAATAGTTTCAGTAAATGAATTGTGATAATAAAATCATGATTGAAGGTTAATTTTCTCTGAATTGGAAGGGACATATTTTTGACAGAAAAATAGTTTTTGGGAAAGAGACGTTCTGGCTTTGTACTTCCCCATCTTCATACAAAAACATGTGGGAATCTTCCAAAGAAAGGAAAGAAGCAATTATTTCCTTGGGAAGATTCCCACATTTTTTGAATAAGTATGGAGAAGTAGAAAGCCAAAACCGTTAATTTTTCCTTTCGTTTTGATCACCTTCTGTCACTGGCATATCTCAAAAATGCTTTTGTAGTGTTTTTAACTATATCAAAGGTTGAATTTTGGAAGAATCAATTCTTTCGAACTTTATCTCAAATAAAATATCATAAGCAAATGAACTGGGATAGAAAATGAATTTTGAGAAAAAAAAGATTTGGCTTTCTACTTCTCCATCTTGGTAACACAAACTGAAGGCATGAACTGAACAAAAAAGCCCTCTCAAAACAGCTATTTTCATATAAACATTGAATTGCACAAAAAAAAATTCGATTCCATCATCCGTAATGATGTCATCAAAATGGCAGTTATAAGAGGCCTCAGCCCAACCAATATAAAAGCTGAACAATATCGTATAATACTTTTATTTGAGTCTGCTCTTTCGTTTACAATACTTAAATCTTGGGTAGCAGAGTTTTAACGAGGCCATACGAGCTGCCAAGACGAGCTTCGCAGTGGTCGACCAAATGAGGTGACGGTGGACTCCAGAAACGGTGAACAAAACCCACAAACCGGTACAGAGTGATCGTCAATTGAAAGTGCGCGAGCAAGGAGACCTAATGGGCATTTCAGAAAGTGCGGTACATCGTATATTATATGAAAATTTGAACTTGAGAAAGTTGTGTGAAAAATGGATCTCACATTTGGTTACACTCGAGCAAAAACCATGTCGGGAAGATGTATCAATTGAGTGTTTAGCGAAGTTTCAAGGCAACAAAGCAGATTTCTTGCGTCGTTTCATAACCATGGATGAAACATGGGTCCATCACTTCACACCCAAGTCAAAAGAATCATCAAAATAGTGGACTCCGAAGAGAGAACCGGCTCCAAAGAAGGGGAATACCGTATCATCTGCAGGCAAGGTCATGACATCGGTTTTTAGGGTTGCGCGTAAGATGATTTTCATCGACTTTCCGAAAAAAAGTAAAATTATGAACAGCGAGTATTATGTGACCTTATTGCAAAGTTTGGGTGAAGAAATCAACAAAAACGGCCACAGTTGGCTGGAAAATAATGTTGTACCATCCAGCTCACAAATCCATTACCACAATGACCAAATTTAATGAATCAATCTTTGAATTGCCACCTCATGCACCTTCTTCGCCAGATTTAGCCTCTTCGGATCATTTTCTGCTCCCAAAATGGTCCAGTGGTCAAAGATTTTTCAACGGTGAAGAAGTGATGTCGGCAGTTAATGGCTATTTTGGGGATCAAGACAGTTCTTATTATAAAAACGGTATCATCGTTAGAAAAAGTGTATAGAGCTACAAGAAGATAACGTTGAAAAATGAATAATTTTTTTCCAAAATTTTTGTGTTTTCTCTGTTGGCAGGGTACTTCTCACACAAGAAGGGTGCGACTTTTGGAAAAAAAAATTCCGTTTGAGGCGATGGTATTATACGCATGAAGAAAATGTCCAAGACTTCATATTAACTACAAGCTGTAAAAAAAGATACCTTCCCTCACGAAGACGCCATCTATCGGATCGACAAAAGACTCAATCACTAAGAATGCATCTTCCAGCACCAGAGGGCATTGTTTTGTTCCGTAATACATCTCATCAGTGGAGCGAGGCTGTTGATATGTCGATATCATATAAATATGCAAAACTCATCAAACGGAATTTATTTTGATTCACTTCAATTCAGCACAGTTCAATCAACTCAATACAATTCATTTAATTTCAATCCAATTGAATTCAATTTATTCAGAAAAAGTTCATTAATTGATTATGGTTTTTCCCTGTATTGGAAACTCAGTAATATCACAACTTACCGCCTTGGGGTTTCATTTTTCTTTGATATTGAAGGATAGAGTTTTTACACCAGAGCTGAAGCCTTCAAAAATGGAAAAAAGTGAAAAAAAATAATAGTAGGATGAATCCCATTACAAAAGGAGAGGAATATGATAAAAATGAAAGGAAAAATAAATTACGGGCGATCTGAGTCCGGGAAGTGAGAGAGGGTGAGATTTTAAGGGTGAAAACTGGTTTATCTCGTGAAAAGAGAAATACAAATTTCTATGTTTTTTACCACTTTCAATTGTAACTAACCTTACTGCAGTTTCGTCCTATATGGACATTCTCAAACTAATACAATAAACTAACAATGATTCATTACATTCGCCAATATATACCAGGTACTTGATTGAGTACCTGAATTTACAGTTCACATTGCGGATGTGCCAATTTAAAAACCGGACACTGAATTAAATCAATTTGATCATTTAACAGGTTGCACCCGCAATGTGTATGCTTATAAATTTCCAAGGATTCTGAATAATTGAGTTTGCAACCCTTCCTTGCATAGTGCAGAATTTCCGTATCGTTTAGATTCGGAAACTTGTGGTTACATGCCAAGGAATGGTTTGAAAACGTCGAATCATTTTTTCCTAGTCTAAAGGACCTTTCATGTTCAGCATACCGTTTTTGGAAATTTCGTCCGCATTGTTCCACATAAAAACCATTACACTCCGGACACTTGAGCTTATAAACTCCAGATTTTTCCAACTTGTCGACCTTATCGTTGGCATTGAGAAAGAAATGAGATAACCTGGCATGTGGTCTGAATGCTACTGAAACCTGCGATTATTTCTGTTCTTTTTCCAAAATATGTTAGCATTACCCATTTCTTGATTTCTGGTTGTTTGACCTGAGGATATATTAATCTGTGAGTGAATTTCCGTCTTTGTTTTCTGATGAACTTCTGGATAGTATCTGCGTTGAAACCATTATTATGACCTATCTGTGTTATTGTATCAATTTCCCTAGCTAGATTGTCTGCAGACAAAGGCAGTGAGAATGCTCTGTGCAACATTGAGTTATAGGCTGCTAATTTATGACTGTCTGGATGGAAAAAATCGCTTGGGATGGTGATGTCTGTATAGCTAGGTTTTCTAAAAACTTCGAACTCGAATTTATTCCGATTGTGTGTAATGGCCAGGTCCAAGAAATTTATCTGTTTCTCTATCCCTGTTTCGAGTGTGAACTGAATGTTGCTATTGAGATTGTTCATGAATGTCATAAATTGGTTCAGCTGTCGTGTAGTACCTCTGAAACAGGCAAGAATATCGTCTACATATCTGTACCAAAAATGAATATGTTTTTTACCCGGATCGGAGTTTACTATAGTAGTCTCCAAGTTGTTCATAATTATGTCTGCTAAAATTGGACTAAGGGGTGGTAAACCTGAATCCTGTTTATAGAATTTGTTGTTGAACTGCAGGTAGCTCTGATTCAGGCACACATCGAAAGCTGTTGAAACTTCAAAGGAAGTGATATGGTCTACTTTGGCTTGATCTAATATGTCTGAAATGAGGGGCTTACACTCGTTGTACGGTATGTTGGAGAACATACTCTTCACATCGAATGAAACTAAAATTGAATTATGTTGCGTGGTTTGGTTCGTTATGTTTTCTACTAAAGTCAGTGAATTTTTAATGCTGTGAGGTGAGACGAAATTGGTAATATTTTTGAACAACTTGTTAAGACGTATTCCTAGTTCTCTTACCGGACTATTTATATACGAAACTACCGGTCTTATGGGGTTATCCTCTTTATGTTTTTTTATCAGGCCATACAGTTTAGGGCAAGAGGGGTTCATGTTGGTGATTCTCCGTTTCTCTGATTCCGTAAAAATGATTTTAGTATCTAGGAGGAAATTTTTCAGTTCATTTTGACTATTTTTCATCGGGTCTTTCTTGATGACAGTAAGGTTTTCATCTCGAATGACTGACTCAATTTTCTGAACATATGCTTCTCGTTCAAGGATAACTATGGCATTCGATTTATCAGCTTTCGTGAAAACAAGATCATTATTTCTTATTTTTTGTTGTATAGTTTTTAGTATGCTGGTTTCTATACTGTTTGATGAAGAGAATGGATGGTTCTAAATTACTTCATTTATCTTGTATGCCCCTATATCTCTATTAGCTGTCTGTTTCAATGCAATAGCTGTATCTGTTATCAACGTATCCAAACTATTTTTATTAATTATTGTTGGTGTATATGTCGGCCCCTTGGACATTGTTGAAATTTCCT